ATAAGATGGAAGTCAGAAAGGTGTTTTTTAAGCCCTTAAGCATCAAGATGGCCTCATCATGGCCTGAGTTTGAAGAATTCTCAATAGGAAAGTACATCCTTTCCCTTACATTTCATGTACTGTAGATGAAGGAAAAGCAAAGGAAAAGAGTGAGAATGTTCCTGTTCCTCCAAGCTGAGAGGAGAAATCCCCCAAAAGGGGCCTASTGTATATGTGTGAATTTATAATGTATGAATGGCATTTATTTTTGTTTTGTTACTTTTTGATGGCAAGATGTAACCACTTCTTGCTCAGTGAGGTGTGGTGCTGAACAATTCAGCATCATACACATGTCCCAGCATCAACACATTTTTTGTTTGATTCAATTGAGTAAATATCAGGGTGTAAACTGTGGTTTTATCATGAAGTACTGTAATTTATCTTTGTATGTGGGTGTACTGGAGCAGACAAAAACCTGCAATATTCTATTTCTCTAGCTCCCTAATTCTTTTAGTACTGGGATGAGATCATAGCTATTCTCAAGTATAAAGGTATAAATATGAAGATTTTTACACTGTGCTTAATTTTCCAGTTGCCCTAAGCAATGTTTTCTTTGCTGGAGTCAAATAGAAAGCTGGTTAAAAGTGGCCTGGTGCTGGATAAAAACTTTTATGGAGTGAGTGATGTCCATGGGACACACAGATGCATTACAAATGAATAAGGTAAGATCCCTTAAAGCTCCATGAAGGTGAAGARAGAAGTTGTTCAGCTTTATACTCAAACTTTTACAAAGTAGAAGAGCTGACTAGAGATGGTAAGAATATTGTCTTGATGTTATTTGTAATTTTTTCAGAATCTCATGCTTTGAAAGCTGACATCTCTTTTACCTCAGGTGACAGGAAAGTCAGCAAATTTTCTGAAGAGGGGGAGAAGCTCAGTACAGGTGTTCTTAATAGTCAGTACCCCGAGTGAGGGACCCTGTGTGAACTGACAACTTTGAATCTCAAACACAGCTTCCCCTGAATTAAGCGGGTTGTTTGGGGTTTTTTGGTCTGGTCTGCTTCAGAACTGTCTCACTCTTTTAACAGGTTGTGTAAAGATTATGCTCAGCCTTGCAAACTGTGTTATTCCTGTGGCATTGTTCCTAGCGTGTCCAGCTATAGAAATTCCCTACTCCCTCACAAGCAGTTGGTWCTTTCACCTTGCTCTTGATATACAAAGCAGTCACAGGACACTCAAGGATTTTATCATTAATGAGGGTTGACTATTTCAGGATAGAAAACAAAACAGAAAGYCMCTGTTCATGTGCRCAGTCCCTTTGGCRGGCTGACAAGTCAAAAGAAACAGATAAAGAGCTGCAGCTCTGCTCCATCCTTCTTATTGTGCAGAGGCACGGATGCACGGTCAGATACACAGGCAATGGGATAAATCACTGCTGATTCAGAAGAAAATGATCCTGCATGGGACAGCTTCCATTTTATACTTTCCTAAGAGCTCTAATTACACTCACTGTATGAGCACCTGTTAAGAATTTTGCTCCACAGTGCCTGCTCTGAGTTTTTTTCTGAAACAAGGTTATTCCTAGAGTTTTGTTCTTCAAAAGTCTTTAATCTTGTCTCTAATTGTCTCAATGAAAAGTTTGAAACACTTTGTGAACTCCTGGTTTCAGAATAAAAGCACTCTGATGGTTTGACATCAAAGTGAATCAGTGAGGTAGCTGTGCATTTCTATCCAGTACTTTAGCCATATATTCTTTTGCAAGTGTCTAGAAGCTGTCACCCTGCTATGTTGTGATGAAAATAATTGGATATAGTTCCCACTTCTGTTATTCCCATATGATGTTGCTGCTGGTGAAGAATACTCAAAACTGATGGCTCCAAAGGCAAGTTTGAAACTTCAAAAGCCAAGTGTTCTCCTGTGCTGAGCTGCTTCCTTCTCCAAGGAAATCTGCAGATTTTCACTACATATCAAAGAACATGCAGACAGAAGACCACTCCCCCAAATGAATGGTGTGCAGAAAAAGGGTGAATGAAATAGGGAGGAATTCTGTACACAAACTTGGAATCAGGAGAAGCAAACAATTCAGGAGGAAGATAAGGCTGTCTAGAGATAAGAAGATAGAAAAAGAAATTACAAATCCAATGAAGAAAAACATTTAATAGTTAACTAAGCTACCTGCCCTTACGATTTTTATTTGTCACTTAATACAGATATCTGCAATAGTCCTGTAAGTTTTGTGCTTCATATAAGTATGCTGGGTTTGACAGAGTTTAGTAAAATTTCTGCTGTATGAAAAACTGTGTTTCAGCAAGGTGGTGTCTTGACTGTAAGAACCTAGGGGTGGGGAAATTGCTGGAATCCTGTCTGCTTCATACTTCTGCTTTTGCAGGCAAGCAACCTCCAGGGAAGTTCARCATTGATGTAACAAACCAGACATTTTTGTAGGTTACCAGGTTCCAAGTTGAGCCCTGGATGCTGTCTGTTGACAGCATACARATCCCATGTCTGCTTCTTGACCAAAACAGTAAAGGGTCAGCATGGAAAATGCAGCTTTCTGCTTCAAAAGAACCCCAGTAGAGCTCTAATTCCGAATCTCTTTTTGATGATGTTGGCTCTACAATGTTTTTATCAAATCATGTCTGACAAGTAGCATTTCTCTGAACTGATGTGTTCATTATATTTCTACAGACACAAAATTTATCCTAGCTCTTGAATAGGAAAGATACAAGGCAACCTGACTGCCTATAACATTTCTCTCTGATGGCACTACAGTACAGAACAACAGCCCCAGAAACAAAAGTCCTCCTGACACTGCTGCAGGGATGGAGAGCTTCAATTTTTGCTGCTGGAGACATCTAACAGATCTTACTCATGGTAAGGAAATTTTCCACCAGCAAAATTGCTGAAACACCTTTTCCTCAGCATTAAATTTGATGTTATTCATTTTGCAGAGCTACCTRGCACACACTGTTCTTGCTGCTGTACTTTCCATGTCCACACAATGGTGTGGCCAGCTGGACAGTGCCAGCTCTATCGCAGGAAAGGCAGTCACTGCAGTAAAGCAGACCTCAAATGGCCTTCCCTCTCCTGGGTAGGAGAGTATCCTGGGTTATTAAAATATGTATTGTGTGACTGAAAAAGGGGGAAAAACCTTACAGTCAGTGCYTGCAGTTGTGCTGATCCTTTAGTTATTCGTTTGTACTGTAACKTGGCCAATGTCTGTCCAAGGCCAGGCAAAGAGCAAAGGGCTCACTCCCAGAATGTCCTATGCAGCCCCTGTAAATAGGGGTGGGAACACTGAGCTGGGCAATCTTTGGGATTGTGCAAGACACAGATAAGCCAGTGAGCCACCTCTTCCCAAAACAAAGCACAGAATTACAGCTTTTAGTGGAAACGGAGAGGATATACCTTTTTCTTTTGGCAGGCTTGTCCTCATGCTAAAAATTCAGCAGRTTTCTGTTTCACTTCTTCTCTAGCCTTCTCTTCTTCCTAGCCTTCTGTCCCCTGAACAGTCTGGGTGTAAATTTTCCTRGTAGTTTCCTAGAAACTTCCTAAAGTTTCCTAGTATTTAACTTCAGCAGGGCTGTCCTCTGCTGTCAGGTTCTCAGTTTTTGGGCKGATGACCAAGAGCTGTCACCTCCAAGACTAGGTCTGGAAAAGGACATTTTGCTGCCTCACCCGGGTTCCTTTCTCTGCTGTTATCTGCATTGGGGTAATCATGGCTTAAAGCACATTTTAAGGTGGAAAAAAAGAATTACCTGAGACCTCTGTCTTCAAAATGGACCACCTGAACTAATTGCTTCCTAAATATGAGTTTCAGGGCATTTTTCAAAGCCTAATTCTGATCTCTGCTGAGAAATCTCAAACTGTGTAAGTCTTGGGACCTGAAGACTGTCATTAAATCCACACAAAGTGATTCTCCAAATAGAATTCTCTATCCTTCTATAAATAAAGTATGGATTGCAAAACTTGTTTATTTCTTTTCCAAATCCCTAAGATTAATTCAATTTTTATGAGAAATTTGGTGTTTCGCCTTTTTTTTTATTTTTTAATGCCATTGTTGGTACTAATTGTCATCAGTTGCTTTGAAAAGTGATTTAATTGCTAGGAAACCCTGCCACCATTTTGTCAAAGGGTAAACAGACACTTGGGCTCTTCTAGAATGAAGGATTGGACCAGTAATCCTGGAAAACTGTGGAGGTCAATAGATTTTAGCTCCTGGCAGGTGAAACCAACAGAGAGGTTTGTGTGAGGTTGATAGGGTGTGGACTTATGTGAAGGCTTAAATATTGTTTTCAAATTTTCTTTAATTGTGCCATTATTTTGTTACCTTCATGGGAGACATCAGCCATGTCAAACTCCGTGGTATTAGATAAATAACATAGTATAGAAAATCAGCAGAAGGAAATTCTTACATGGCTGTTAAGAACTGTCTGGAGTCCRTGAATTTGGATAAGAAATATAAGCCAGGATTCAAGTTTTTCATACTGGTTATGAAAATACCTTCCTTGTTTTATTTTAGTGTTGCCATTGCTCCAGACKTTGATGGGAGCCTAATGGAGGAAGCACAGAGTATATATAAAAATGGTACTCCTTAACCTCTACTTTTTATCGTTATTATAATGCTCTTACAGTAATATCCTAGTGATTATACTCTATATTATATTTTATCAGGTGAAACCTGACAGGGAAAGCTGCTCTCTGTGGGAAATCTTTTCTGAAGCTTAAAATAAAGAGAARTAATTGAGGTGAGTAGCAGAATTCTTGCTGGATTTGATTTTTCTCTCTTACCCAAATCTGTCAACTAAATGGTGATTCCCTGGGCTTCTTTTTTTGACTGATAGAACTGGGAGAAATTAAGAGAAAATAAGGACACTTGACTTTAGTATGTGATTTATTTACTGTAAAAGTTTGTCAGCTCATGTTTGTGGTAGTTTAATTTTTTTTAAATTAAAACAAAATACAGGTAAACCCAAAATACATGAGTTATGATTGCCTCACATTTGACCCTTGTGTTGAAAATGAGGGCAATCACTGTGGTGCAGCTTGTCAGAGCTTTACCTTACATTGTTACTGTCTGTAACTGCTGTTCTGCTCAGAGAGGGCAGCAAAGGACTGCAGATCTTTTGGAATCCAAAAGGAGTTCAGCTCTGCGATGTAATACTGAGGAGAAATGTATTTATTAATATAGAGGGTTCTGAAAGGAGAAATAGGGGAGGCGTTCAGATCATTGCTGCTTAAACACACTTGAGGTTTTTGTCCTTTAAGCCGTGGGTGTTTGCAAGTAGTGGGGATTCTAATAGGAGAGAAACARTCACCTTGTGCTTAGGCATTACAGTGGCCCTGAGAGGTTTGAAAAGAGTCCCAGCAGAAACACAATGAGCTGTTGAGGGTTCATCCTCAGCTGGAATATTCTGACTCATTTGGCATGAAGATAAGTGCTGTAAATTTAGACATACAATGAACAAAACATTGACATTAATTTTCAGCATGGTGAGATTGGTGCCTATTGCTACATTAGATGTTTTTGTTACACCTTGAGACTTTCAGGCTCTTATAAGCTTGGTTGTTTCTTTTCAGGTTTCATAATGTGCAGATACGGTCAGGGGCTATAGGAAATGGTTCTGACACTATGCCTTTTGCTGAACACAGGAGTGTATTTCCCAGGTAATTCTTTAAAATTATGTAAATGGAGAAATTGATGAAAATTCTCTGTTTGATTTGTCACAGATCTGGGGAYTTATCTTTTTCATCCTTTCAATACCTTGGTACTTTGGCTTTTACTGCTGACAGTAAGAAGTTCAGTTAATAGAGAAAAACCTGAAAAGAAAATTAATTCCTGCCCAGGAATTCAGTGCAGTGCTCCTGCAGTCAGTGTCTTACCWGGCAGAGATGGTCCCAAAGGTGCAAAGAGAGAGCCAGGTACAGAGCTGTGACCATTTAAGAATATTATAATTTTGACACTTCTTTTCATCCCTTTACTCTTGTTTCATGTCTCCTTCAATCTTGCATTTTGTCTTTTTACTTCTCCTTTTCTTCTGCCCCATTAGCCTTTTGTAGGCTCAGCACAGTTTCAGGAAGCTGAACATGCTTTCTGCATTTATAGTGCTACTCTAGATACTTGCTTTTAATAAATAAAAAAATAATATTCTACATTTTCACAGCAGCCCATAAAATAGAGATGTAATGAGATTTTAATCTGACCGTACCATTTGTACTCTGAATCACTTCCCATTATATCCTACTAAATTATTACTGCTTTTTCTTTCCAGGGGCCACCTCTCAAAACCAGAAATCATGCTTGCTAGAGTTGCCTATTAATCTGATGGTCATAACTCAATTGCTACATACTCTCTGTGCCCCAACAGCAGAATTCCCCCAAGGTATGATTTTTCAGGTAACCTTTTCCATGCACTGCTGCAAACAGCAAATAGATCCATGAAAGCTTTCCATCAYATGGTGGAACCAAGTCACGCTCTCTCCCAAGCTGCCAAATCAGTTTCTGTCCAAACTCATTAGTAAGTACACATGAAATTGCATATTTTCTTACCATATCCTGTCTGTGTTATCCTGTGTATACCACCCACCTTGGAATTAGATACTTGCTTTTCAACCTCAAAGGAAATTCTCATCATTATCAGCACGGCTTGATATGAAGAATGACATAACAGTGGCATATATTGATATTCTCTGTAGACATTTTCCAGTCCACATACTGACTGCTCAGTGTGCCCCTCTCCAATTCCATGGTTGAAATAAGAAAAGCCAGCAGTATTTTTCAATAAAATGCTTCAGAGAGGAATCCTTAATGTTTCAATTTAGCTAATTTTCTAGATCATATACTGTGATGTGTGATTGGTTTACAGCTGAAGTAGATTGGCTTGCTGGTTTGAGAGCATGTGTACCTCTGCAATAACATGAGGGAATTTATTTCATTAGACTTTCAGTGCCATAAGTAGTTTTAGTAAAGGTTTTTTCATCAAAGTAATACATTTTCTAGGAAATGAAGCTTTCCAAAAGAATAATTCAATTTTCCTGAGATGTTTTTATTTTACTGGGAGTGGGCAGGTGGAAGGCGAAGGAGTCAGTGTTTGTTGCTCTCTTTAGGCATGAAGAAAACATAATGGAAGAAAAATTTAGAAAACATTTGAATGATTTTAAGTTAAACTCTAGGAGAAGAATTAAGAGACCTATAGAGCTTCCCTGGAAAAGTGGGACCTTCAAGAATAAATGGAACTTTAGGACCACAAGGACAGAGAGGAATAAAAGTACAATATGGAAATAAGAAATAAATTACTCATATTTCTATAATCTGATTTTCAACCTTTTAGTATAGTCTCAAAAAATACTTGTGTTAGTGTCTGGTATTCCTATGGCATCATTCGAGGAAAGGTGGGATTTCCAGAAGCATGAGGAGCAGAATAATGAACCATCTATTACACAGGAGATTAATTGCCCAACAGAACTGAAAGTATCTGGAATGAGTCACTAGCTTACTGTATTTTCTGTGAGTGAAATACCAAGCTCACGTTATAAAAAACATATTTTCTTCTCTCATTCTTTGCCTGTGCATGCTTTTATTCCAACTTTAATTCATTTACAAAGGTTCTCATGTGTGTTTTGCCTTTGAGAACTGGATTTTGCCACTGAACAGATGACTTTGGCAACCTTAAGAATTCAAAGCCTATCCCACTTAGATCAGGGAGAAGGAACTCCCAATTGGACAAATTCCCTGAACTAATCTGCAGAGTGGCCTGTGCTTTCTGCTCTGGAAACCCAATATCTCTTTCCTGTGGCATCAAATTACAGGAGAGCRGAGCATCTTGAAGACAGGTGTTATGCAGTCATTTTAATATAAATTATTAAATAACAGCCTTAACTCCCAGTTGTGGTAACTGACGACTTGCAGAGAAAGTGGCTACTTGCAAAAAAAGTACAGGTTTTGGAGGCTGAATTAAATAAACACAAAAAAGGTAAGGTCCAACTGTTGATAAGTTCAGTTTTCGGCCTGGTAAAATGATGATGATTGTGCTGGAGAAGAGATAGAAAAGTGTAGGTTGAAACAAACATTGCAAATTTCTTTCATGTTGCTGATGGATGRTGGTCATTAATTAAATGATTTCTCATTGAATACATCCTTCCTGACCTGACCTGTCAAATTTTAAGGATCACTTTGCACCTGACAGAGCAGGGCATGTTACATGGACTGCAGGATCAGCCACTGTTCTCCAGGTACTTGTGCTTTAAGCATTGCATTGATATTTCCAGGTATCTGTTTTGTTTGACTTGTATAGGAGTCTGCCCTACTGCTTCAAAATTGTCTCTTTATAGTTGGTATCAGCTGCTTCTGAAATACWGTTGTGACATAGGTAAATAACTAGAACATCATCAATTTTTGGTATAATACAATTACATTCATGTTTCCAGCTTTGCATTWAAAGAACATCAGGAGTATTGTTAAAAACAACATTTGTCTCAACTGGAAAAGAAGGAAAATCCCTTTGAGCAAAAGTTGGAAGTGCACTTGCGTTTTCTAGGAATGAAGCTCAGAACACAGCTTTACAAGAGTTTGTAACACCTTCAAAACAGGCTTGTGTGGGGATATCTGAAGAACAGACTGGAGGCAGGTTCATGCATCTGAATGAAAGTACTTAGAAGAACTGAAATGATGGAGAGCCAAATAATCTAAAAAAATAAGATTGTGCAGTAATACAGGACTCTGGGAAAATTGAATTACATTAATTGCTCATGAATTCTTGAGTCAATGAAATTAGGAAAACCCGAAGTTTGTTCCCATAAAGGAACAATATATATATATATATATATATCAGTTTGTTCCCATAAAGGTGGTCTGGAATAATCAGAAACAGGGTGTATTTATAATTGTTCTCTCTTTAGAAAACATTTTTAAAAAAAAAATTCCTAGTAAAATACAGATTTCATTTTCTCAATCATTATGAATTAAAACATGTCTATCATCATGGTATAAGTGTAATAARTTATGGCATGCTTCACAGGCTGGTGGCTCTTTCTGCCTGAGTTCCTCATAAATGCAGCATGAGGAAAGCATTTTTTAATAATCTTGAAACTAATGAAAAATTTGTCTCTATTCCATCTTTGAGCTGAGCTGTAAAAGTGGGGAGATTACTCTCCAAATGCTGCTTCTGATACATTCTTTTATTATATAAATAATAGTGCATGCAGTCCTGTGTTTCTTCAGTATTTAGTGATGCCTTTGCTCCTAGTGCACTTTTATTCTAGTTCTAAAATTGACTGATAATGAACACTTACWGCCTAGAGTGATGTTTATCATCTGAGTACAGAAGTCCACTGCAGTAGCTACTGACATGGAAATAATTTCTTTTTTGAAGTTTCAGCTATTTTCATGCTGTTCTTCCCCTGTGATAGGAAAATGAATTGTGCTGTAACTACAAAGAGGAATAAAACAGTAAACCAGTCAGCCAGGTTGCTTTGTGAGTAGTGGAACAATCACAAGAGAACAAGATGATTTTTTTTTTTTGCAATCTATAGGCATCAACTGAGGTACAGGAGATATAAATCAAGATTTAGGTGTAGTGGAAAGCAGAAAATTTCTGTCTTAAATTAAATACAAAAGYCTGCTAGTGAAATGTTCTCCAAATGGAATTGAGCTCATGCAGAAATAAAGCAAAAGGCCCTGTGTATGTGATAGGTCCTTAATGCAAGAGAAGTGATCCTRTAGGTTTTTATGATTTTCTTGATGGGAGCTTATTTCACCTCAAGTGAACTGCAAAAAACAGGATTACAAACTRTATTAACTCGGAATCGGTGAACATCATGACAACAAAGCCCAATACTACAAGTYTGACAATTAAGAAAAATGTTTCCTTTGAAGCCTTTAAGTGTTTAACCATGGAGGAATAGATTTTCAATTTGTCTTCCACTTAGTTTAAGACTAATCTGAGTGCCTCTGCAGACAGAAGGATTGCATCTCCACTGGCAAGTTATGGACCCATGGGAACACAGGAATGTATCTGTACAGAGGAGTATTTGATGCCCAGCTCATCTGTTTTATGGCTGTTATTTTCATTGCCTAATTCCCTGTCTACCTTTATAAGTAATGACATTTTTCTCTCTGCACTAGTTTATACAGGTACAGCAAAAAAGCAATTACTGAAATTGGTAAAGGATATGAATTTTCCAGAGTATGATTTATCTGCTGATCTGCTTCATGTCCTCCTTGTCTTTACTGGCAAAGTATCTTAGCAGTTCTCAAGTGAACTACRTTCCTTTTCTGCATTAATTGGTGTCCTGCAGCTATGAAAACCACAACTTTTTAAATTTCGCCTGAAAGATTTTAATCAATATTTATTATATAAAACCACAGGAAATGGTTCAATGTTTAAAAGATGTATTTGGGTTTAGGGACTAGAGATAATTCAGTCTCGGATGCATTCGTTTGGAAAGATTATGTAAGTCTGTTTTGGGACTGTATCAAAAAATCACTGGGAATTGTTTTGAGACCATTTCATTTGGAGCTGGACTAAGAGCAATGATGTGTTTTGCCCCCCATGCATCAGTACATTACAATGACTAAACTACTGGTTTGAAGAAAAAAACTCTGGAGTAGTATTTTGGAGATATATAATGCTGGTTTTTTCCAACTGTTTTTTGGGTTTTTTTAGAAATACTATTCCTAATTGCCATGTCAGTCACTTTCTCAAGATTTCAGCTCTGAAGTGTAATTTAGACTGATTTGTACATTATTTTGCCCTGCAATTCTCCAATAGTGTTGAGAAAGTGATGAAGCTTCTTGTAACCTTATGTTAATGTTTATTTTCATAGAGCACTGTGCTTCATTCAAATGGGATCTATACAAACCACAAAATGGTTTGCAGGTAAGTGCAGAAGTGTTCTTGTGCTAAACACATTGGAAGTTTGCAAAAGCAGAATGGGCAAACAGAATTCCTGTTGTATGCTCAGTTTCATACAGTCCAAAGTTGTCAGATAACTAACTTTTTTACCAGGCTGTGTACAGGAAAGGTGTATCTGAGCTGCACTTCTTGARTCTTCTTGAAATAAACTCCCAGTCCTTAGTCTTTTAGGCTTCACTCAGGTGTCCAGCATTTCCTGTCTTGTAGGTTTACTGTGTTAAAGGGAAATGGTCCCCCATCTGTAAAACCTTCTGTGCAGAAGGGAAGCTGCCAGCTTCTCTTCCTTTTGAAAAAACCAAACTCTGCTCTTCATTACAGTGGTGAAAATGCAYCTCTGCTGGAGCTGCCCTAGAWATKCAGCTGTGCMAGTGAAAGYGTAGCTCTGTTAGTCTGGGCTTACCTGGTAAACTGTSCTGTCCTGAACCAGTGCTCAGAGCAGAACAGTGGTGGTGGAATCTGAGAGCTTTGAGTGCATTGTATGGGAACAGGCTGATCTCAGGCTGGACAAAAGTCCACAGGGCAGGAACCACACCTAGAAATAGAAAATGTGCTCTTACTAAGTCATATTACTTAAAACTTTAAAATTCAGCAAGGTACTGTCAGCTGTGTCCTGAGCTCTGACCTTCTTCATTTGTGTTRGGGACGCCTTTTCTTTCTTGAGGAACACCTTTCTTCAATAAGGCGCTCAAAAAGAAAGAGTTTGAAACTGTGTTCTGTTGTCTTCCAAGAGGCTTAAATCAGCATCCCTTAATTTTGACCACTTAATTTTGCATTAATTRTAAGCTAATCTGTATTTGTTGTTATAGCTCTGATTAGAGCCATCTCATATGGTGCTAATATGACCTCCGCAGAGCTTCTGAGTAATTCAGGATGAAAGCAGTGTTTATTAATCAGCTGCTGGGTTTATCTTTCTAAAACACAATTTCAGGTTAAGTACAGGCTCAGGAGGAGCTATCCTGTCACATGTGAATAAACACAATCTCTGAAAAGCTCTTTCCCTCCTCTTTAGTTTTCAAGTGGCAATTTTCGGTGGAACCTACAAGGTGCAAACAGGAAGCCATCCAATCATTAGCAACTCATACTTACTGCTTTATTTTTTATTTCTATAAATAGGGGGAAATGGGTGGTTAATCTAGTTTAAARCACAGGAGAAGTGTTTTCTTTGCTGTGACTTGTTTCCTGTTTGCAGGCATCAAACTCTTGAGTTAATCATGCAGAGGAGAAGCYTTATGCTGGGGTCTGTGACTTTGGCAGAATCAAATGGCTCTGCTCTGTGGTTTGGCACCTGGAAATGTAAGGAGAGAAAAATGATTCCTGGGTTGCAGTTTGGCCAGCCAGTAATGCTCAGGGGTATAAATAATGCAGGATTACCTGGAAACCTAGGCGCAGTGTGGTTTCTCTTTTAAGCCCTGCCAAACCTCTCAACACTAGCAGCATGACCGTGTTCTCTCTAGTAGGAATGAATTTTTCCTGAGGCACCTGCAGTTAAAATCTCTTTTTACGACCTGTAACCCTAGTGAAGTTTCAGACATCAGTAGCTTGAGCTGTTTAGATCAGTGCTTCAGGGTAGACAGTTTAAGTTCCTGGCTTGCTGGGAGCTCTGGTTTGTTTATGACTGCAGCTAGTGGCACAGTTTGTCCCTCAGAGCTGAGCTGTGCGTTAATCCTCCAAGAAGCTTCTGGCAGCTTTGCAGTGGGAGGAAGACTCTTCAGTGTCTGGTTGRCATCCTCTTCCAGGGTATTTAAATTCAGATACAATTTCAAGCAGCTGGACTAAATACACAGAATGTGTGAGCAGCAGTTGACCCACACTTAGGTGTCTGATTTCCGAGTCCGTGCCATGTTTGGCTCCATCAAAACAGACCTATTTTGTGCAGGAGGTTCAGTGTTTCCTTACTCTTCAGGCTGTCTGGGCTCACTTAGGAGAGTCTTGAACAGAGTATCTTCCCCTTTTTCCCATTTGCACTGTTGTGATACAGCCCTTGGCCATCTTTGCCTTGAGCTTCAGACATGTCCAAAAAAAGGCTCTGTGCAACTTTCCATCCTGCCCCAAGAATTATTCTCAAGCATATTTATGATTCAGACTTTTGATAATAAAAGAAGCTAAACTCTACAAGTTGCTTTAACTGAGATGGACACAGCATTTCATCAAATTTAGTTGGAAATCCTGAAACCTGTTAAGCAAAATCACAATGTATACCTTAGTTACCCTCTTGACTGCACCTAATGGATTCATTGCCACCTCTGTAAGGGTGTCCCACTCAGAAGTGAATTGATCAATACTACATTGCCTACAGATCACAACCTTTTATTTTCTCAGTCACCCTCTCCACCCTACCTAAGCAGCTTTATGTATTGACAGAAGCAYGGAAGAGACAGGGAAAAGTAGTAAAGCACTTTTTAAAGCCTTTTACCTCTTTTTATTCCGGAGCTGCAGCTAAAATGAAAAAAGGGTGTATTTATGGTACTTCCTAAGCCTGCTAAGTAGAGCTTTTATTTATGCATCAAAACCTAGTGGAGCAAGTWTTATCTTGAAGCCTCTGATTGTCCTCTGTGGGCTGTTATTTTCTAGCACATGGTATTTAGCTTCAAGCTGCAATTGCYACCCTCTGGAGAACCTCATCTTTCATTTTCATGAGTGAAGTGCATGTCTAGCTTTCTGACTAATGGTGTAAAAAACTTAAAGCCTTTCAGTTGAAAAACTCTATGAGCGAAGTGAAAATGTTCTTTTCTTTATAATGTCATGTTTTAAATTCTGTCTTAAAGCAGAAACTGTATTTTTAATAAATGGGTATTAAGTGTTGGCAACAATATGGGCAGGACTGGATGGCAAGAAAAGCTCTCAGCTCATCACTCAATAGCAGTTATAAAAGCTATTTAAGAAATATTTCAGATGTGTCTACAGGGCTAAAGTGTATTATATATTACTTCACTGAAAATTGTACGTTACACTCTTTCTCAGGTTACTGGGAGCTCTTCAGTGGTGACGAATGCTGCAGTCCTGAAATTTACTTTTGTCCAGTACTCTCAGAATAGTTCTGAATTTGATCTTTATTCTGGCAAACTATGAGTTGTTGKAAAGTATAACAGTTTGCATTATTTATCTCTGTCACAATGTGTGTTCCTCAGAAAAGGTAAAAGAACATAAAAGATGGCAGTTATTACACAGTTGGGCCCCATTTGTGTGGGAAAGTAGATGCTGGAGAAATAAAACATACTATTGGCATGGTGACACTGATACCAAAACATTCAGGAGCACAGTTCTCCAGATTTTGCAAACTAATTTTGTAAGCTACTACTCGAAATCCACTTCAGCTTTAAAGGATTGTCCATGGGAACAATGGCAATGGCCTGGCCCTGTGCAAGAACAATGGCATTCCACTGTGCCCAGGAGGCTGGGCTGTGCACAGGGCTGAACACAGGCACAGCTGGGGAAAACCTATGGGGCTGTTATTGTCTAGATTGGATCCCTGAGATGGTCTGGTAAGGCAGACAAGCAATAAGGCTGATAGAAAAATAATTGTATTTGAAGTGTTCTTGTGTAGATCCCCACTCCTGAGAAACAAGCATATTCCTGTCTGCCTAGAATGATTCCTCAAATCTGAGTAGAACACCAAAACTGATTTATGAATAAATAGAATAAATATTTTCATTATGCTACAAAAGGTATATTTTATACTAGAMAAGGTAGCTGAAAATATTAATAATTGTGTAGAGTTTCTCTTGTCTTACTAACAAAAGTAGTGTAAAATCTTCAAAACTACTCATAAAGCTACTATAAAGGCTGTAAGGGGTGGCCCCTGTGGAATAACAAAAGGATATTTTATTAGTTAAGTAGTTGACATTCATGGTTATTACATTTCTCAGAGTTATTAAACATTCTCTTTGATTTGTCATTCAAGTTAAGTCTGCTGTGTTTTAATAACCTACTAAACAATTTCAGTTTGAATCATTTTAGCCTCAAGCAACATTCAAGATCTTCCCATCTCTTGAGAGAGAATCTGAGAGTGTAGAACTCTGTTCATTCCCTTTTTTTTWWAATTTCWAWTTCTTTGGATCTTCATCTRTTCCTTGTTTTTATCTATTAGATRAATTTCAAGGGGTTCTGCATAGAGCTTTTCTCGTTTACCCTTACAGGAATCTTSCAAGAATATTTCTCACTGAAGCCTCTGCAAGAACTGCACCTTTTATAGTTTCAAGTCAGCTCAGATGTATCAATRAAAGAAACTCTACATGCTTCAAACAACACAGTCAGCTAAAACACAGAGAATTTTGTGTTCAGTCACCTGAAAAGTTCTGTGAAAAAAAGGAAGTGTGCAATACCTGTTATCTTAATTTTCAGCTCATAACAACAATAACAATCATGATTAGGTGGCGTTTTCTGGGAATTCATTTCAGGTTTTGTCCATTCAGTAGGATAAAAAGCAGCTTCCTTTTACTGTGACCATCAGACCTTAACAGCAGCTTGGTGAGTTTATTATTTTCTTTTGCTACTCTGCATTTTCAGCCATGTGTTTTCAAAAACAAGTTGCTCCCAAGGACTTTGAATCTCAATTGCAAATAAAACATTGACAATGCTTTTGGATACATATGTTCCAATACTTATCAGTGAGACATTATGAAGCCATTTCCCAGCAATAACAACGTAATAAGAACTTGGCAGGATTTTTTTCTATCAGCAGGCTAGATTATTTTAAATTGATAACAAGAACCAGGTGGCTATTTATAAGGGCAAGRTATGAATTGCAAGCACAGGTTTCCAAGGCAATGCTGGCCAGYGGCTGTTCAAGCATAAATTGCTTCCTATTACCACTTTTGATAGGAGGTAAATGGTCCAGTTCATCTCTGTGGGAACCCAATGTGGCAGGACACCTCCATCATTCCTCTTTGCACTGTTTCCAGTAAAAGAAGGCAACATTTACTCCCCTATGATGCACCTAATTGATATTGCAATGAATAATTTTGTTGTGTTGTTGAACAAAGATTARGAACCATGCCCCATACTGTTATGCAGTATTCCCATGAGAGGGCTACTTGGTGCAGGAGATGCAAGGAGGAGTTAGAGTTGGTAATTTGGCCTACAGGATACAAAAGTGAATTGATGATCTGGGAAACAAAATCAAGATCCCTCAATGATCCTAGGAATACCATCTCTCTAATGTTTAGTTACTCTAGCTTTGAAACAGGTAAGAAATAGGCTTGAAAACATCACTAGGTGGTGAAGTTACAATGAAATATATCTGGTTTCTCTTTGCTTATAGAAGGACAAGACAAGCTGATTATAGTATAGTTAAATTTTTTCTAAGCTTGGATAAAGAATGTGAGAAAGGAGAAGTAGAGAGTGCTCATCCTGCCTGCAGGAAGGAAGAAGGTTGTGTCTAAAAATCTGTTATAGTCAAAACAAGAGCTCTTTGATGATGTCTCTGTTTTAATGCGCTCTGGTTGATTTTTTTTTTTTCCCAAGGCATAGAAATGGTTCCATCAAAATGACTTGTCTATCAACCATTTTCATAAAATCCAAGAGGCCACTTTGCTGATGTCTGTAATATAAATCAATTATTTGAAGTATATGAGAAGGAATCTAATATAATCTGAAAGCAAAGGACAAATAGTTCTGTTAACATAGGCTTAAATTGTAAGTTCTTTGGCAGGAGAGAACCATGCCTTTTTTTTTTTAAAGAAAAAAGCTCTGAAAGCCTGGTCACCTCTTTTCATGACAACATAGTTTGAATTGCTTTTCCTAGAATAGAAAATAAATTGAAAGGGATGTGGTGTCCATTTGAAGACTTTTTTTTTCTTAGCTTATGCTTTCTGTACTTTGCAAGATCAAGGCTATGCAAGGGCTGTTCAGTCTGGTAAAGCCTGCTCTTCAAAATGCAATACTCCAAGCTCTGTTGCCTATCCCTGCTGTCCTCTTTTTGGAAGTTCACGATCTGTATTCGGTATTCCTTCTGTTTCTCCATCCACCTGTGCATACTGAAACCTAGAAATGTYCTCCCTTGGATCCACTCCCCAAAATAAGTGTGTTATTAAGCTGACAGCATGTCAGTGATGCCATGTTTTTTCATAAATATAAATATGTCTCATCAGCAATTACATCCTTCCTGTGAGATGTTTATCCCTCTAGTTAAAGTATAGGGCACACACAGCACTAATACAAATTTTAAGATTTATCCACAGCAGGATTTGCTGTCTTTCAGTAGCAGCRTAGTAAAGTGTTACACTCGCTACATTCTTTTCATCCCAGTCCTGCCTCACGGAATCAGTAAATTAGCATACAAACTATTTTATCAGTGTTTCTTATTTTCCAAAGGTGGGGGACTGTTGAACTTCCCATATTTTTGTTTGGTTTTGTGTCAATAAAATTAAATTGCAGGTGGGGCAGAGGTAACACTTCATCTRCTGGATTGTTTGATGACCTAAGAGGTGACATATGCTTAGTGCCCTATATTTCTGATGAAATTAAGCTGATGCCAGTGAGCACTCTTTAAACACTTAACTCTGTATGATTTCAGCAAATAGATTACAGTGGAAATACCAGACAAATATAAAAAATGACTGCTGTTTTGAAAGAGGTAAATATGGAGAATTGACCACACCTGTTTGCCACACAGATGCTGTTCCAAGGACACGCTCAGAGTCGATATCAGGAACTTGCAGCCCAGTGACACRTTTAAGGTTATCATCTCACAAATTGCTAAAATAAACTAACAAGGTTGTGCAGCCCTATTTTATGTGGAAGAGCATGGCATGGCTTTATACATATCAGGATATGATAAGTGATCATAATCGGTTGGTATCAGATCACTTCTGAACAGCAAAATGAGGAGCTTACCTTGTGTTCTGAAAATGAGAGTTTTGGAGGCTGTATAAAATTAGTTCTGGTTTTGAAACCACCTTGGCAGTTAGTTTTTTGACAGTAACATGCACAGCTGCTACATAAAGAAGCAGTCTTTCTGAGTATGTGACATCTTTGAAAATCAGATTCCTTTTTTTCCCCCAAGTTCTCTTTTGCCAAGAGCTGAGCAGGCCACTGCAGAGTATGGTTTTAATTCACTGGCAGCACAGCATATTTAATATTCTTATGGTTCATCTTAATGGTTGAAAGAGGTATTCAGTACCTGGGGTCCACTGAAACAATTAAAAGTTCCCTGGCTGAGTTTTGTGGATGTCTCCCAGCTCAAGGCTTTGAGCCATTACCACACAGGTTATCTATAAATTTCAGAATTCCCATTCTTGTAACTATTCTACAGGGGAGCTAGGTTGCAGAAAAAATATTTACTTTCTTTCTTCCTTATTTTACTATGATGGTTTTCCCTCATTCTCTGCTGCATAACTAAGGAAAGTAAATCCAATGACTAAAYAATCTCTCACATTGGATTATGTTTCAGATTTCTTATCAGATTCCATTGTGTATGTATAATCTGAGTCATGGGTGAAACARCTGTTATCAAATGTATGTTTCTTCAAAAGTTTTGGTGAAAGATAATATTTGATAAGATTTTCCTAGATCACAAGCCGTGTTTTGCTCATGCCACACTTTCCTAAATGGACAGAGATAATAGCTGTGGGGCTTTACTGATCTCCCTGTTTAATGTTTTCAATTCTTTATTTATTTTTTTAATGATAAAAACTGTTATAGATGAAAGAAACAGATCTATAAATACTTACCATGTTCATGTAATAAAGATTATATATACAAGGTATATACATGGTGAGGATGTATGTGGACAAACATACAGCAGAACAGTTAACCCTTACCAGCTGTTGCAGAGCTGCCTAGAAATTGGATCTGTAGGAGATTGTGTCCTGGTAACAATCCCAAGAACTTCAGCACCTAGTAATTTAAAATATTGCTTCTCAAAATCTGTATCCAGAAAGTTCCATCTTATCCTGGAACTGAATAAATTTTCTGTGTACCCCAGAGGTCTGCTGCCATTCAGGAACAGAATTACCTGTGTCTTTGATTGTGCTCAATTGTCTGGTATTTGTGCCATTCCCAAACTGCAAAAGGAGCTGGAAAAAAATATTGTCTATAACATATATTTGTGGGTGTTAATTGATCATTTGGTAAAAAGGACACATGATATGTCCTCAGTTTGCTGTTTTTGGGGGGTTTTTGAGATGGAGAACAGGCCATACTGGGCACTTTCAACTGCAGGACAAGATTCACAGGTGTGAATAAAAATGGATTTAAGTGCCTACACTASTTCTAAAGGGAACAAAACCTCTGCTTGCTTTTTTTTCTTGAAAATGATGTTCATTTGAGAATTTTGTGCTTTTATGTAAATTTTTCCAAGATCTGTCTCTGACTAAGAGAAGATCAACTGTACTGTTCAAGAGAGACCCGAAGCTCATGGAAACACTGATCATTCTAGAACATGGCTGGAAAATTGTATTAAGGTGAGGTAAGTACACCAGATACACAGAGGGAAGGCAAAGTTTGGAATTCTGATTACCAGGTTAGACTACCTGGAAGGCACCAAGCTTCCCTAAGAATAACCTCAAGAGTACTTTTCTTTTTACAAGAGCCACTGGTAATAATCTGCCATTTTTTGCTTTTATAAAACAGCAAACAGTTTTGAAATGGGACCTAGAATTGACGTAAGTTACTTTACATTTTTTAATATATTTTGTGTCTACAAATCYGATGTTATCTGTTAGTTCTAGATTGTATTTTCTACAACATTGGCTTTCTTTTGTTATAAAAGAAAAGGAAATTCTCAGCCCTTAAAACAAATCTCAGTATTTGCATAATAAGTATGTGAACAAAACTAAACAACCTCATTCGTAGCCTCAGTATMCAGTCTCCACTTCAGCCATATCATTTAACAAACATGACACTATATAAAGGGGATTTGTGGGAACTGCTTTTTCATTTCACTTTGAAGCAGAAGGGTAAGTTSAATTTCCTTTTAATAAATTACAAGAAATTTCAGCTAGAAGGCAAACCCATTCCTTTTGATTTCTGTGGTCATATTTACRTTTTAAAATTAAATTTTCTTTTATTAACAATTTTTTTTAACTTTGCTTATACTAGCAATTTTAGTAGATAAGGAGATGCCTGAAGGACACAAGATAGTAATGACTGATGAAGGTCATTAAAACCAGATTAAAACTGAAGAGCTGTGTTTTTTCCATTTTGCCATATAACTGGTCAGGAGTCTGACTCTGCATCATAATCCAATTATGAGCTGCATTAGTCCATTCAAATGTAATTCCCTGARTGATCATCACCAGGCAAAGGGTACAGGTTGTAATTGCATTTCCTTATCTCGAGGATGTCAGTATTCCTAGCCACCTAAGGTAGGTTTCTGTTTGTGACTTTATTAATCTGCTCTCTCTGAGTCACTGGCCAGTGCTTTCAGAGGTGTCTGTGGCCTTCAGTATGATAAAGGGTAAATCACTCAAGATGCTTCAGATCCCGCACGCAAAACTCAACAGCACAACTYAACATGTGTTCCCAGGTGGATTTGATTTTACATTCTTTCAAATGGAAATTCTTTGCCATAATTGAGTATTTTTATATTCAAGGGTATGTCCCATCAAATTGACTCTGATGGGACATTCCCCTAGAAAAACATGTGGGTGTTGACCCAGATAAGAATAATCTCAAAAGTCTTCTATGACAGAGTCAATATGGAAGATATAAAGAATGCTTTTTCTTTTAAAAGCTCATCCATTTAATAAATAACACTAGACTGATGTTTTGATTCTGCTTGGCATGTATACTTTGAACTGGATATCTTGTTATAGTTGATGCACCAAGGTGTTAATAACCTTACAGCATTCAAGCCCATCAAGTTTTTATTTAAAATTTTAAGTGGAGCTAGAGTTAGAACATAGTATGTGTAAATTATGATTTTTTTCTCTAATTCATGCCAATAGAAAAGTAAATAAATGGATATTAAGTTGTTTTGTATGAGAGTCAACCCATGAGGATCATACCTATTAGAAATGGATAGCTCTTCTAGAATCTTGAACCTTTCTTTATATCTCCCCTGTYAGTTTAACTGAATGATGTCAATAACTGGGTATCTCTGTGCCATAGTATCTTCCAGTCCTTCAGGTTTTGCAGCTGCACAGCCCACCCACTCACTCTGCTATAAACCCATTATGTGTAGTTTTAAAGTGCTTTTTAGTCATGATATCTCAGCACYAAGATTATAACCCTACTTATTGTTTTATCTGTAAGGATAAAATAAGATTAATAAGCCTATTGCCAACCAGCCAAAATGCATTTTCTASAAGATTAACTCTGACATTTTCAAGCTTGTGGAATTTTGTTCAAAACAGGATAGAAACGTCAGCTGAGCTACAACATTTTACCCACGTGTAAAACAGTATTACTTTGTGCCTAATAAATGTGCTTAGCTAGTACTGTGCTTTAACAAGGTCCAAAATATCACAATGACCACTCTAACAGATTGTGCCTTTCAGGTTAGTATCATATGATCATTGAGTGATTATGGTYCTTCCTGGCAACTAATGGCTTAAGYGTGATAAATTGCTTCTCAACCCATCATTTCTCAAGGATTAATCCAACAAATATTCAATGACAATGAAAGGGAGAATTTGTCTTCACTAGTCCCAGACTTGTGGCTATCATCCTGTAAGAAGCACACCAAATTTCATCAGTCTAGAAACAGTTTTGTGTATAAATTACACAATRGTTGCAAAATAAATCTGGGAAATCTCTTACACCTAAACTATAGACTTTATTTAAACAAGGAAATAATGTAAATTTCAGAAAGGGATGAAGTGGACGGGTGCTGTTGTATAAACCAACAACTACAGTTTCTTACAAAATCTTTGCCTGACAAATGTGTGGGGTTTTTTTTCATAGCTGGCCTGAGAAATCATGTCTTACTCATCCTACATACTCATAGCACTGGCTGCTTTATTAGTGACTTGCCATGCATTGAGTRAACATCCAGGAAGTTCTGGATTGCATGATATCCCTGGAAGACATGGTCTGAAAGGTAAGCAAGCTTGCCTTTTTAGCAAGAGATCCTTGTCACAAAGGCTGCATGACTAGAGACACTTAACACAGAAGGACGTGCTCTCCAGGAAGCAGCTGTGTAAAGCAGAGGAAGGAAAACTGAATGGAGGAAATGGACAATTTAATTTCTTTTCTAAAAGACAGGCCTGTCTGTTCTGGGGGAAGAGGAGACGTGAACAGGTTATCAACATTAATGTGTGTGTGTATATATATATATATATATATACACACACACACACATGTATATATATGTGTGTACCTTTGCAGTGCTTTTCCACAGACTTTCCAAAGGGTATTGCTTCTTTCACAGGAGAAGCTTTTTCTTTTTCTAAAAGTATGAAGACAGTGTTATTCCAGTATTTACAAATGTGATTAAAAGAATTCTGGCATGTTTCTCTGGTGTTCAAGGATGGTAAGTGCAAAAGTGGACTGGTAAGGAACACACCCTGTAATATCCCTTCCACGTAGAAATATTTTCTCCAGGTCTGCTCACAGGGCTAAAGCACTGCAAAAATTATTCACAGGCTCATTTTATTAAGTAAAATATAGGGGTTTTAATGGATTATCAAGTGCTGTAACAATTGCAGTGTTGCAATTTGGGGATGCAGTAACATTTTGTTCATCTACAATGCTATGTTTCAGTTGCAAATAATGGATCATGATCATGGGTGCATGTTAGTGACTCTGTTACCGAGGAAAAGTGGTGTGGAGCAAAGAATCCACCTTTACAGTGGGTTCCCCTCTTTAGCAAGCAGTGCCGAATGGTCTGTATTTCCCACTACCTGTTTAGATTCCTTCCTCTACCACTGTTTCTGCTTCCATTAAAGTAAAATAAACACAAAATACACCCAGCACATTAAAAAGAAAATAGTGCCATAGAAACTGTTTCCTCCTCGAAGTATCCCTTGTGTCTGTTCATTACCAATTAGTAGAATGAAACTAACTCTCTTTGGCAAAGCAAAAAGCTTCAACCTATTCAACCCTTCAATTTCTTCTGTGCAGAGAGGTATCAGCAGCATTTCAGAGGATTGGAGATTTTTGTTAGTTTGCTTTGATATAGATTAACAACGTGTAAAAAATACTGGGAAAACACTTATTTTACCCCTGCTGATGTTAAAAATATTATTTGCAATTTAGTTTTGCGAAATGATTGTTTTATCCAGGGGATTGTTCCTGTCAACAGAGCCTAGTTTTGTTTGATTGTATAACTTCTGGTTTTATCTGCATAGGTCTGTCTAATTTGCTGGACACCCACCACCGCAATGTTTTAGTAAATTTGAAACACCGTCTTTTCCGACTGGAGTCTGGTAATTCTTCCCTTTGTTACTTTTTCAGCTCACAATCAATTTTAAGTTCAATAGGTGAAGTTAGTTACAGAATCACAACTTAAAGAAACTGCATTTGAAAATGATACTAAGTCCCAAAATTCCATTTTCTCATTCAAAGCATGGGAGGTCAGGACTCTTACCCTGAAGASAGTAGACTTCTCTTGGCAATTGCAATCCACCTTTGTTAAAATTGGATTTACKAAAATTATTTTTTCAACTAAGAGATGTTGCATTCACCACATGGATACATTGGAGCTCAGTCTTGTACCACATTGTGACCACTTCTATCTGTCAGCAACCGGATTGTTAAAAGGGATTCACAAAAAAAAAAAAAAAAAAAAAAACCCAAAACTCTCTTTCTCAAATTTGAAGCATACTGATCTTCTTCAGAAAGTACTTAAGAAGAAAGTTACAAATTGTAACAGGGCTGATATTTAGCAGGTGTTGGTGGGACATCCTTGTCTTGGAGACAAGGACTGGTGTTTAAAGCAACAAAATGATATATTTAGTGAATAACTAGTGAATGGGTAAAATTTAAAATCTTTATTCCTCTTCATCCTTTCGTCTCAATTTTTCTCTCTCTTCCTCTTAGCACTTTCAATGTTCTCTTCACCTCTTGATTTCTCTTTGCTTTTACATCAATATGCCATAGAAAATTTTTAAAGCTAACTCTTTTCTTTTCATGTTTCAGTGCTTGCTTTGAATGGGAAAATAAGAAAAGTAGGRGAGAGAGTGTTTGCCAGCAATGGGAAGATAGTTGACTTTGCATCTGCACTGCACTCCTGTGAAGAGGCTGGAGGAACTCTTGCAGCTCCCATGAATGAGGAGGAGAACAAAGCCATTATGGACATTGTGAAACAGTATAACCGATATGCTTACCTGGGCATTAGAAAGGGGGAGGCTTCAGGTCAGTTTAAATACATAAATGGCACACCCCTGAGTTACATCAACTGGCACCAGCATGAGCCTAACAGCAAAGGGAAGGAGAAATGTGTAGAGATGTACGCTGACGGCACCTGGAATGACAAAAAATGCAACATGTATCGTCTCACAATCTGCGAATTTTAAATAATGGCCTTTCAGCCACTTCAGAGCATGGAGAAAATGAAATATTCTGCATTTAGGGTATATTAAATTTCTGCAATTTTTCTGTATCCTAAAATATAAAAGTAATCATATTATGGTATTTTTTATCCTTAGGAAAATGCCAAATGTCCTAGATGATTAAGATGATTAAACTTTGCCTGAACTGATGTGTTTCTCTCTTTTGGAGGGGTGGGAATACCTCAGAATTCATTTTTCGTGGCAGACTGTCTCCACACCTTAGTGAAGATTAGAGTAAAATTCCAAGGTTTGAATTTGAATATTGGAAAAGTCTGAARTTAAAATTGCCTATGGCTTCATAGTGGAAGCATTTTAAAGTACTTGATAATTTCTGCCTTGAAAGAGATGCACAGAGAGCATTTATGCTTTCAGGTTTTGGACATCACTTTCAGTGAGAGTGCCTGTGTTKTGTCATATTGAACCACTCACTGATTCGTCAGCATCCACGTTTAACTTTTATTTTATAAAAATAATAATCCTACCAAGTACAATTAATTCCTCCAGTTTCAGAAGCTACTCTCTATRAAACATGAAGATAACCATTGCACTAGATTCAAGTAGACAGAGATGTGTATAAAATGCTAAATATGGCATTTTGTTGTTAAAACAGCACATTCCCTCAGAAAACTGTGAGATTGCAGTGTCAGAAGACCACCTTTTCCCAAAATATATTCCCACATATCATTTTAAGGAGGCAGCTAAGAGAAGTTCTATCAATTCAAACACCTCTGCTGATGTCAGCCAAGCAGCAGCACAAACAGACCACAACTCAAATCCCATAGGACCAATGGTCCCAAAGGTCCCATAGGACCTTTTCACAGAATATTTTCACTGCTACTCAGGGCAGCTGCTGAGCAAGGGCATCTGAGCAGAGTGCCATGAGCAGCAAATTCTCACATACCTCACAGTGAGGAAGTTCTGGGCTCATCCACTGTCATTGTCACACTACCTGAGGGGAGAAAAAAGAGAAAACACCAGCTTTAAARTACATGCACTAAGCACATCCTCCTCCCCCACATTTGTTTCATTTTCCAGCCCCTGGGAATCTGCACTTGCTCCTGACAGTGATACAGGAAAAGCCCCCCATCCCCCCCCAAAAAAATCACTACCACCATGATCTCTTACTCTGTGAACCACAAAAAGCATATTCATTTACATAAATCTCCAACTAGCTTTGGGATATCCTATAGCTTTAGTCAATGAAAAATTTATTTCTACCACATTGGGGTTTATAAAAGAACTATAGAGATCTCCTTTTGAGATYTTCAATGTGTAAAATCTTACAAATGGCTTGACCAAATATAACATCTCCATCAGATTTAGACTTSAAGATGCTGGGGTGGTTTTCATCCAGTTAAGAAAAATAAGATTTTTCTTTCCCAGTCACAAGCTATTTATTACATCAATAAGCAAAGCATTTAGGCTAGGTGTGAAAGTCCAATTTCCTTCAGCTTTAGCCATTATTACTAAAAAAAGGAGAAAAAAACCAAATCAAATACATACATGTTGCCTAAAAATAAAAMCTCCTCAGATCCAGTCAGAGAATGGCTAGGCAGTACTTTCCCATTTACGGTTCAGACTTGATCTGTAACATTTCAGGTAAATGGATGAGCTATTTTCCTAAAATAAGTCCATGTAACATCCTTCTCAGCTCTTCTCTCTGTCTTCACCCTTTTACTGTTCTAAAGCAGTGCTTCTTGTTAAAAAATCATGTCCAGWTTTTTTTGCATAGACTTTTATGTCAAATTTTATGAGCCTCAGAGAAAAAAAATTCCAGTGTCAACCACCACATGTGGAAGAAGTAAAATTCTCTTCTACAGCAAAGCTTGGAACCTTCTTCTATTTCATGGGTTTCACATATGGTAATTGAAATCCTGGTGTGGGCACATACTCAGTAGAATATTGCTTGATTATTCTTTACAGTTCCACTGAGGAAAAGTATTCAGCAATTGGGTTTTTGTATTCCTATATGGCCTTTTTTGGTGTGTTTGTGTGTAACTCTTATCAATTTATACCCTCAAATGCTGTTTGAAACACCAGCATTTCAGTATATTTTTTGATGAAAGATCTGAATTCTCCATTTATGTATTAGTGGATTGTTTTTTAATGGACAAGAGAGGCTGGGCATATAAAGAAACAGAATAAATTGTTTCTGTGTTGTGTTATGGTAATATACATAATTTTGATATAACCTCTTCTTAAAAGTGCAAGCTTTTAAGAAAAAGTGCAATGAGCAACAGTAATTCCTGATATAATGACCAGACCAGGAAAAATTGAGGTTAGTGGGGTTTTTTTCCCCTTAATTGATAATTGCTACAGAAGTGCAATATAAAGATAAGGTCTTTAAATCACAAAATTAGTTACTCYCCARATGCTATAGAAGCWGATTTAAGAATTACRATYKTTTAGTACARGCAAAAAGATGACAAAAATTKCAACCCTTTTGATGCAAATKGATTTCTCACATAAGATAAATTGARTATACTTATTACAGTRTATTTAAGAGTAAGGCTTTGGCCATAAAAATTAACKATATTTATTTCAGAAAGAATTGTCTCTGGTCTAGAGTGTTTTCCCCTTTTATAATGGTATAATTGAATTAGTTTCAGCCTAGAAATACTATTATAATTTTGAGCACTCAAAAACCTCTTACCAGCCCCCATCAATTCCTACCACACGTGAAGAAGTTGACCTTCAATTCTGGCAAACACAAATTTTTCTGTGTCTTGTTTCTTGAGAACCAAGCCCCGTGGTTCTTGAGAAAATTGAGTTCAAATATAGCCTTTTGTGAACCTAAGTGGCAGGATATGACACAGGGCTACTTTATCTTGTATAAATTGTGAGCTCTATCTCAAGAGTATCAGATTGCAAGTGATTTTTCATTATCTTAAGTTGAAATGTACTCTTATTAAATCCTATTAGCCTACAGTTAGACAAACATACCTGATTTTAAAACACAATAGATACAGGATTACTCTTGGAAATTAGAGCAAGGAAAAGGTAAAAGGACTTGGATTTTTTTTTTAAGTCCCTGTTACAGGGTTTGGCAGAATTTACCTCCAGAGTGATAAGCCAGGTGTGATGGCAGGTGACACCTGGAATGGAATCTCTGCCCTTGTGGCTCAGGAGCTGAAAACASTGCAGAGAAAGGCTATCTTAACCCTTGAGGAGGCTGTGGCAATGGGAACTACTGAGGAGATGAGATATTGTCTTGCTTTCTCTTTGCTGTACAACTTCTTCCTGTGTTTTTTTCTCAGCTGAGCTGCCCCAAGTGACATATCAGAGACCAGAGATTTGACTCCTTCACACCTAAGTCAGTGGGACAAGATGGCAGTAGCATTRTTAACCCAGGTAAAATGAAGACTTTCTGCTCTAAAATGCTGCTCATGATTAAATTATTTAAATGCATGTGAAAATCTGCCATCCCAGGTGTCCATATCTTGCTGAATTGCTTCCTGGTTTTAATGCTCAGCAAAAATAACCTCAAGCCCTCCTCTAAGAAATGGGACCTTGTGTCTTCCCATGCTCTGTGCTCTTCCTGATATTCCCATGCATAATGGAGTTGCTGGGGATAGTCTGATAATTATTTGGAAGAGAAAAGGAAATGCAGAAAGCACAGGACATGTTGGAAACAAGGCAGGGTAGAAACAACATCATAACAGCACAAAAATCAATGTAAACAGAAAATATGGGTGGGTTTGGGGGGCATTTAAATACAAACAGAATAAGAAAATAATTTTTAAGGTTTTCTGAAGTGTGAATAACACTACGGAAGGAAAATCCTAMCTTTCAGGAGGACAGGTGTACCAAGGAAGGGCTAATGGAAGGGGAACACACCCATTCAACTCTTCAAYTCTGTATTTCTCAAAGCAGCTAAGAAAGCAGTTGCCCAACATTTGTGCTTAGCAGGTTTTGCATTTACCTGCATACAGTGCACAACACGACCTACTCAGAATACCCTTCACTTGCTTCACTGGTAGTGAAATCATAAAACCTCTCAAGGATAGATGTGGAAACAGAAGGAAAATGAACTCAATACTCAAAAATAATTTGTTCTTTATCAGAGCTGTGTCTTTGAATCTTGCTGAACTTGATACGTGGCTCAAGGGAAGCTCAGAAGACACTTTAAAAGCTATGATAGTTATATAAAGTGTTCAATTAGGCAACCATGAACAAGCATAGTAGAAATGAAGGTACATTTAAATACCCATTTAATTTGCTCCATCTTATTAATATGCTGATGAAAATCAGGACAAGAGAAGTTTAGAATTTATCRAATCTACATCAGTTTTTCCCAGCAGTCTATCACAAGAAAACTTGTGTCTCCCTCCTGGTTTCCCACACCAGCATGGGAAAAGCCACTCCAGCATGCCACACCTCATCCTCTTCTCATGCTTGCCTAACTTGTGGTTTCTTCCAGGTGCAGTTAAAATACTAAAGTTGTTCTCACCACAGGTGCAAAGGCCCAGGCTCTGCCAGTGACCTTTCCTAGGGCTCATCTGGAATTCAGGAAATGGCTTGCCTTATGTCCCTCCTTGATGGGGAGATTTTATAAAAAAAAAAACAAAAACCAATTAAAAAGCCTCTGCCAGAAGGATGTCAAAAGCCTTACTGCAAACACTCAGAAGGTAAGAAACTTGAAATTTAACAAGAAGCTTTAAACAAAGGTTACTCGTGCAAATTTAAAACAGCCCCCTTCTGTCTAGGTGAGTACATCTGGGTACTGCCTATTTATTTTTCACAGGGCTGGTGCCCTCAAGGGCTCTCAATGAACAATGCTGCAGGAATTAATCCGGGATCCGTGGGCACACCGCCGAGGACAAAGGTGTTGAGGAATACATCAGTTGTTGAGGTGGGTATGGCAGTCAGTGCAGGGCACAGGTGCAGAGCACCTCTGGAGGTGATCTGGGCTTGCTTAGAACCAAGAGCATGTCAGACTAACATGGATATACTGCTGACATTCCCATCCAGTCTCAAAGTGCTTCATTCCTCAACTGTCTCAGCTCTTGGCCTTGCTGCAACATCAGATGCTGGCCTGACATCACAGGTGCCATGTGGCCACATCTGCCTTGCCTGAACTGGAACACAGATTTTAACAACTTTCCTCAAAGTCTTCACTAGACAGAGCCAACTCTCAGCTAACAGCTGCAAAATTCTTGGCAAAGYCATCTCCTTTTCAGTAATGCTCCTTATCTTAGACCTCTGTACTTGCAGGGCTGACATAAAGCAGCATTTTCCTTCACTGAATGGTCATTTCTCTGCTGGAATAAATTGCTGATTATGATATATAAACTTTCCCTGGAGTATCCTATAGATTATTTAAGTATGCATCTCTCTAGCTGTCTCCTCTACATGTGCTGCAGAGGTACCATTGTCATTTGGCTTTGCTGCCACAATTGTGAGATTCTGTTTAGTTACAAGACTGCAATCATTATCACTGTTAAGTCCTCAGTCTGTAACAAAAATGATGGTGGTGTTCCTTGTGCATATCATATTTCAGGTGAACTTATCTTCTGTGACATTTACACAGCCTTCTGTGGAAACATTAGGTATTTCAAATATGAATTGAGAAATTCTGTTCCAGGGTTGGTGTTTTAAAACATGTCAAAATGTTTCTGCAAATTAAAAGAGTACCTTCAAATATTTTCCTCACATTTTAAGTATGCTTACCTCTTGAAGAAAACAATCCACTTATCATTCAAGTTAAAGGTTATTAAATTTCCATTCATATGCCAATTCCTATCATATGACAYGTTCTTTGTGCTTTCTGTAGATGAGAAGATGAATCTCAAGTTACATGCCCTATAAATTGGACCATTTAAAGAGCCTTTCTTAATTCACACCAGAGCTGCTAGGTAAGTTGAACATCTTTTGATAGGTTGCTGCTAAAACCRTGTTGAATCTATTAAACTTTCCAATTATCCCAAAACTTTCCAATTTAGATGTGTGTCTCAATATTCTTATTAACAATTATACCTTTTTATACACCATGTCACCTGAGGTGAAGAGATGTTAAAAAAATGGATGCTACAATAGAAGAATAAGCATTAACAATTGTTTTGCTCTTAAACCAATTGACCAAGACAGCATATCCCACTTCATCTTAAACTTTCTCTTGCTAAAGCAGTCTTGTGTCTAATGCTCTCCTGTGAAATGAAACTACAACAGATACTACTATGGTATCTGTTGTACAGAGAAGAGCTTTGCAGGGGATGTTTTGGGGTTTTTGCTCTGTAGATTTTTGTAGACTCAGCTGACTGTCTTTTGGAAAAATATTTTAATTGTTTGAAATAAGATAACTTTGCAACTACATCAGTGACATTCATGTCACTCTAGGCAAAGCTTAACATATCATAAGAAGACTTTCCATCCAGAAAAGTTTGATAACATGCTTTTTTTTTTTCTTAATGCAGGACTCTACACTGGAGAGTAAACCAGCCTGGTTTACCTTTGGCTTTAAATGATGCTGTCTGCACAGATGCACAAAATCTTAGCAGTAGCCTTTTTCCTGCTCCCATTTTGTGCTCAAGGTAAACCTGCAGGACTTCTTTCACGGTTCCCTTTTTTTGGAGATGGGAGAGATGACAGACAAATACCAGGTACATGAAGTTATGTCTATTTTTATCTGCTGTGTTCTGTTTTTATGCTTTGTTAGCTCAATGCTRTCTTGCATAATCTGATGTGTGTTCTGAAATAAAATAATCAGGACTTTATTAATCCCTTATATGAAGTAAAATGCTTAAATCTCTATTTAATGGTGCAGTGGTTCAATTCACAGAGAAAAGTTTAGTATTTTCCACAGCACAAGAAACTTKTTTGCTGAGTGCTAAGTTTGAGCTGTATGCAAATGCTTGAACARCCTGAAGGATTCTGTCAAGGATTCAGTCCCTAAACACAGTCAAAAATCAAGTAAAACTACAGCACAAGTGGTAGTGTTTTTTCTGGACTACCTCAATCACTTAGAGGGAAAATGAACTCAGTGTGCCAGTTCCACTTTTCTGTAAATGTCCCTCCTCTGCAGCTGATTTCCAGTAACTTATCCCCTATCCTTACAAAGACCAATGTGTGAAAATATTCCCTATTTAATAAAAAATCAGTAAACTAAAGCATGTCAAACAAACATTTTAAAAGTTCATATTAATTTCACATGATGAGCATAATTTCACATGATGAGCTCTGCTTTGTGTGAAAGCCAAGACTCAAACTGTAATACAAAGTGCATAATAGCTGGTTTTGTTCACAGATTTGCTGCCRCTGGCTGGTAATGAAAACAGGGACATCATCCATCAGTTAGAATATCGGATCTCCAGACTGGAAGGAGGTATTTTATGTACCTTTACTTTCTTCTGCTAGTGGGTCAGTGGGGATAGAGCAGGCRGGCAAAAATGGCTTCTTAGGAAAAAGGAAGCATTTTCTACAGTTTTATCATATTTCTTTCATATCTTGTTCCCTGGTGTATCACTGAGTGAAAACTTTCAAATGGGGGAGGTGGGAATTAGATTTTCCTAACTACTGGGAGATRTGTAGGTAACAGCTCTGAAGCATGAGTGCAAGCAAGGCAGGAATGCACCAGATTGAAATCCCTGCCTATGCACAACTGCTGCATGAGCACTCTGTGCTCCCAACGGACAAACTGAATGCTAAAACATGCTAAAGCAATCATCAAATCAAATCTAAAATCCCACTCACTCAAGGACATTTGTACTCTGCAAACCACCTCCGAGCCTACAGTCTTGAAGAAAATCATACACCTTTTCCAAATGTAGAATTCCTCATTTCCTTTTCTACCTCTCCAACATTTTTTGTGAATCTCCTATTTTGTTGTCTGTGCATTTATGTGTTCCGCCCCCCCAAATTTTCAAATTTCTTCTGGTTTTTGGAGGTTCCATTTTTTCCTTTCTTTTTTTTTTTTAGTCTTTGATTTCAAATCCTCCTCTCCTTTAACCATTCCTGGGTTAAGTCTAAATTATGGAGCAAAATAGCAGGTCTTCTAATTGGCAGCAAAGTGAGCAAAAAACAATGCATAAATGTTTAACAGCTTTTACTTCATCTTGCAGTCCTTCGCTTGAACAAAATGATAACAGAGTCTGGAGGAAAAATATTTACTAGCAATGGCAAATATGCTGATTTTGATGCTACAGTGGAAAAATGTCAAGAGGCTGGAGGGTCTATTGCTACTCCCAGGAGCCCTGGCGAGAATGATGCCATTCTGCAYTTCGTGAAAACTTATAACACCTACGCCTACCTGGGGATAAAGCAATCCCTTATTCCAGGCAAATTCCAGTTCCTGAATGGTGCACAGCTGAGCTATACTAACTGGTATYCAAATGAACCTGCTGGCAAAGGGGAGGAGGAATGTGTGGAGATGTACACTGATGGCACTTGGAAYGACAAAAGGTGCAACAAGAATCACCTCATTGTCTGCCAGTTTTAGTGTTTCCCCTGCTGCTCTCTGGAATGTGCTTTCCCATCACTTGTCTCTTCATTTGTAGCTAGCAAACTTAGATAATGCAGCATGGAAAAATAAAATTCACTCTTTCCCAGTCTGATTTGTCTTTTAAACAAATGCCAGCCATAAAGAGGAAACTGCATCATGAAAGCAGTGGCCATTTTGCCTGTTTTGTTAATCGTTGCCCACTAAGTGTCTTAATTCTACTCCCTAGGGGTTCCTACYGCTGTTAGCATGCTGATCTATTACAAGACCAAAAATCAGAGTACTCCTCACATATCTAAAGTGACTTGCAGCCACTTGATCTTCCAGCACCCCTTTACGCAGGAGCCTCTAAGTTGTATTTCAATCCCTTTCTGTAAGTTTCTTTCACCAAAATTCCCTGTACAGACACTCTGCTGCTATTCACCTGTGTTGCTTTAGCCACCCTCACCCCCAGCAGGTGCCCTGAAAGAAGACATGAGCAGTGCTGTTCGGGTGACATAGAGCCACCCCCCTYACACTGCCCATTGGAARACTTCAGTCAGCAGGTCTTCAACCYTCAKACACCTCAAAAGTGGTGRCCAGAAGCCACTTACCTTGCAGCTCCTAATCCCTTTCYAACCCTGGTCATCTTGTGGTGCTGTAGCCAGGAGCTAACAGGAGTTACTGCCCCTAAACCACATGGGCACAATCAGCAGTGATGGCGAGGCTAATTTTTTAAGCTATATGGTCATGAGGCTCAGCTAACTAATTTTGGGCACCACAGAGGTGCTTGTCAGACCCTCACAGGGCTAATCTTGGTGGATGCCAAACAACTTGTACTCAGCACTCATTGCAGAAGCTGCTCAGTCTTCACAGTCTGTCTCAAGCTAAAAGATTAAAAGAAATCTCTCAGCTTTGTTGCCTCAGTCTGTTCACCTACCGAAGGTGAGTATTCCCCAGGTTAGGTTCACAGTTGTGCAGCATAGCAGCACACTCAGAGATATCTAATTTGGTTTGGTTTTTTTCCTTTCTCTGGAGCACTTCWCTTCAAYATAGCTGAGGCAGTGAAGGCTCTGCATCAGCTCCGTGACATGGTGCAAAGGCTGGCTGAGCATCTGGGGATGCCACCATAAAGCCAAATGCCTGACTACCAGCCACACGCATTGTCACTTTGTTARTCCCAGCTTGGTCAYGGAAACCTGAGCAAGAGCCCATTGSGACACTCTGGAATCAGCTCCTCTCACCCTCTGTRTGACAGGAGGACACAACAGCCACAGGATGAACGTGACTGGGGAGAGAAGGAGTGCTCCCAGCTGCTGTGAACCCAGGGGTCAGCAAAGGGGCTGCTTGGAGCCTTGTAGTTGTGCAAAGCCCTGAAATTCCAGAGCAGCAACTTGCCACATGCAACATGCCTGCACTGGCCTAAATTCAATTACAGGATTATTTTGGGCGCATGGTCTCACCACCTGCTCTGTGACAAGRAATGGGTCTTCCTGGCCTCTCTTCAGCCCTCTGCTTGATGTCAGGGCTTGTGAATCATTCTTGCTGCTGTTCTCTGCAAACTGAGCTGTTTGTCTTTYAGGTATTTCCTTAGGAGAATTAATGCAATAGGGCCAGTGTCAAACCAAGACACCTTTCTGCTTGAACAGCCTGCCGGTGGTCCACCTGTCTACCTCCACAGRTAAACTCAATTATTCACTCCTGTAATATTCAAATCCTTCATCACAATGCATACTGATAGGACCCTACTTCCAAGAGAGATAAAGTTATCTAAACATATGAAAAGATAAAACTTTTGTGAGCAAAGTCTTCAGTTTATCCATGCACCTGTTTGGCAGGTAAGGAGATCTACAAGCTGTTAACTAATGCCTTMCTTCTGGACAACACAGCCAAAATATAAACTACTGAATACCATATCAGGTAAGGTCTAGGCAGACTGCTCTCTTAGCCCAGTTGAAACAGGTACATGGAGGGGAAATGAGGACTCAGGAATCCATATGGTGCTGTTTCACTTTCAAACTCTATTCTTACTCACAAATGTTTTACAGCTCACCAGTGTCTGCCTGCACCCATCAGCTCACCCGCCCAGTCCTCAGCCTTGCGTGACTCCTGTTGTGAAACTGCCATGAGCACAAGGAAACAGGATCACAAGCATCCCCTCATACAGTAGTTTTCCACTCRTCATATTCCAATACAGTTTAAGAAATTTGCAATGATTAACATCAGCCTGAGAATGAAGTTGCACACGCAGCCCACTGCCACCACCACCAAACATTTAAAGCCATGGTAAGTTTTTTATTTTATCCTGCTTATCTCCAGGGGGTTACAGAGTTATCTCAAAATTAAAGCTATTTGCAGGTGTGTGAAAAAGCAGCTACCTTCAGCCCTAATCTAATGAATATGTGCCACAGCAGAAATATTCCATCATCTTTGGGCATTTCCCCTGTGGGCTGCCTGAAGCTGCCATCTCCAACAACCCTGCTGACAGCAGGCAGGTTTGGAAACAGCAGTCTTGGCCTTAAAAGCAGATTAGTTCTGCATTTGGGCACTGAATTTATTTCCTAAATCTCAAAGAGGGTCATAGAGCATCCTCTGATTTRTAGAAAGACAAGATTCCCCAAGGCTAGCAACCATTTACTCCAAAGCTGTTCTCCGAAACATTTGTGAACTTATTTTAAAAGCTTAATCCACCCTATCCTAACTTTACTTATTTCTTATGCCTTCAAAAACTGCCATTATTTGCCATGTATTTACCAGTACTTTTGGATATTCTGGACCATCCAGCATGCTGACAAGAAAAACTATGTGCTGTTCAATTTTCAGTCAACAGCATGCACTTTCCCACTTTCAGTTRTGGAAGTAACAGTAGCATGACCATAGTTAAGTTAAAATTGTATTYATCTTAAGAGTTAGTAAAAGAGCAGGATAAACAGGTTTCTTGGAAAGAAACTGAACATGGAATTTGATTTTAGCAAGATGAAATATTAGTGTCAAATACCAGGAGAGTTGGAAGTCACTTGTCAGGTTCTGTGGGGAAGAGTGTTACTGGTTCTGCCTTGTATAGTGGAAAACAACTCTTCCACACCCACTCCACCCACCAAGAATTGTTCAGAAAATTGTTTTTAACTCTATAAAAATATCCATCATGTGAAAAATTATTCTTAAATGATGTTCTTTTCTGTGAAAATATCCTAGTTCATATTTTCTCTGTTTAGTAAAAAACTGAAATGCCTGTTGATAGCTGCATGTTTTTGAGGTCTAAAGGAACATCCTTGCAATCTGAGGCTCTGTACCCCTCTTTGGATGTATCCATTCCAGCACAGATAGTTGCACAGATTTCCTTGTTCCCACCATGGGGTTTTTAAGGCAGGCTGTARTTTGGCCTTCATATCTTCCTTTGTCAAGAGACAAGGGCCAGGTGCAACCATGTGTTCAGGCATGAGGGCCACTTTTTAGGGACTGTGTAAAGCCACCTCCACAGTAGTGTGCAGCAGAAACAGAGCTGGCTTAGCCTCTGAAGAGATTTTTTACATGCTCTTTATATAACAGATACTGCAGCAGTCCTRGCATAGCTGTGGTTTTTCAAATACTTAAATGAAATTAAGCTGTTAAGTAGCAAGCGGGTTTTTGAATATACCTAGCTGGAAGAGAGTTGGGTATATGAACCCCTTGGATCTGCAATGAAATTCGGGGCATCAGCCTTTATACTTTGAAGGTTGTACATGCTATTCATAATGATCAGTCAGAAAGAGTTAATCAGATTACTCATTTCTGAGTAAATAAGATGATTTTCAAGGAYCCAAGTAGTTTTCTGATGAAAAATGGACCCTCGTTTTTCACTGCAAGTGGCTGTCTGCTTAAAGCAGGCTGTGCATGTGTAAAGAGACAGCTATTTTTGGCTAGTCCTGAGCAAACTGCAGCTCCCTCACTTCCTCAGGAAGACTTRTGCCACTTTAAGAACACCAAGTGGGAGGTGATAAAGGCACCACTGTACAAACAAGTGCCCGAGCCTCACAGAGCTGAGGGGACCCTGCCCTGCCCTCCCTGTCCTGCTGCAGTGGAACAGCTGCTCTAACACACACTCCTGCTGCCTGGCAGCACAGGATGGGCACCCAAACAAACCTGCTCCACTTTGTGGGCAAGAYTGGCAAGATACCTCAAGGACCCTGAGGAGGTAAGAAGGGAAAGAAAAGATCTGAATGCCTACTTTCAGGTAGTGAGGCTGAGAAAGATGAAAAGATYCAAAACAAATTYAGYTGCTTYGATGCCTTTCTMCAAMGATAAGGAGATAACTRTATTATTTCTAATTTGGGARAAAGGTTGACAGCAGGGAAGGYATGAAGAAGAATATAGAGTTCCTAYTCACATGATTAATTTTAAGTGGAAAATAGTTTGCTAAATGGTTAGAGTTATGTCTGTAAGTGGACTTCATAATCCTTTATTCYCCTTTTACACTTAGCMCACCTTGGGCTTGTATAAGTTTATTCAAAAGTGTTTAAATATTTCAGAACAGGAAATGTCTGTGATTCAGATGTAGGTAGYAACCTCTCTCTGCTAAACATTCAAGAATCAGAAAACTAATAAATATATGCCGCCATGTGTTATCTATGATAACACCTAAAGCCATCTCATTAGATGAAATACAAATATCCAAATTTACATGTCCAGAAAAGTGTGATTTATGCATACTTTCAATAACAGCTRAGAAAATTCTCTTGCATTTAAACTTTCATTGTAATCACCTGGTCCCTTTGGAAGCCAGGTGTAACTAAAGGCATGCTCAGCTTAATCATAACACTTTGCTATAGTAATTTTGCCTTTTAAATATTCCCTATCTTCATCATAATTTTCTTTTCAAAAGTCTTCTCCCAGGTCTCATAAATTTAATTTCTGCATCCAAATTTCACATTGTCTTTTAAGATATTTTAAGCCACATTTTTATCCTGCAGTGACTTTACTCACAGAAAGATAAACATACACAGATTTTACTTTAAAATAATGAGACCAAATTGCATCCTTCCTCATAAAGGCTGAAATCCTTTAAAAAATGAATACTGAAATATTTCTAATTAGCACTTTAGTCAGTTGTTACTTGGAGAAGAAGAT